GTTTGGAGGGCAGAGGCATGAGAAGGAGGAGCAGGAGAGGGTTTGCAGTCATAAGGTTGTTCAGAGAAGCCCTCACTGAGAAGTGGCCTCTGATCAGAGACCGGAAGAATGTGAGTGAGGCCTGCGGATGCCAAAGGGAAGCTCATTCAGAAGGCAGGAGCAGCGGGTGCAAAAGCCCCGAGCCAGGGCTGTGGCAATCGGGTGATTGTAGTTTATTCACGTGTAACCCCCAACCCCTCTGGTGTCAGGATTCCCTGCTGAGTGTAGGGGAGACGGTTTCTTCAGAACAGTCCACCTGCCTTTGTGTGGGTGGCTGTCTAATTGGATTCCACGTGACTGGAGTTTAGATTGTGAGGTACAGAGGCATCTGGGGTCGAGGGTGGGGGTTCGCGGCGTGCAGACAAGCAAGGGCTGCCCCCGGCTTGGACCTCGAGAAGGAACCTGTCCTGCCCCTGGACCAGATCAAACCGAGACCGGGCTCCCCGAGATTCCCAGGGCTGTGACCTGGTCCTACAATAGCCCAGAGGGAGAGGCCAGGCTCCAAGAACAGAAGAGGACCCCACTTACCTTCCTCGGGTTCCCCAGAGCCGGGTGCCCAGAAGGCTCCGCACCCCCACATCCTAGGCCTGGGGAGGTAGCAACTCAGGCGAGTTGCCGTGCTCCACTTTCCCACCAGGTGGCGCTCCAAAACCGCCGGTTAAAAGCGCGCCAGTGGTGGCTCTCAGGGTGCTAGCACGGTCCCCACCAGGAGGCGCTCCGGAACCGTTGGTTAAAATCATTCGTCCGATGGCCCTTCTTGAGCCCTAATGGTGCGTGGGGGCACTGGCCCACTGCCTCGAAGCTCCGAAGTTCTGCCCGTCTTTTTGTATTCCAGGCTGCAGAAAGTGGACTTTCCTGTCGAGCAGCAATTCTCAAAGTAAGGTCCTGCTGCACCCTCATCTCCTGGAAACTTCGTAGGAATTCATACTCTCAGACCTAAAGACTTAGTGAATCAGATCTGAGAAACTCAGGCCAGGACTGCAGCTCTATTCAGGAGGACCCAGCTGGCCTTCAGACCTCCCTCCATGAATTCCCTTTTTCTCCTGTGTGTAGCGAGGCTGCTGTCTGTTTTTCACCCATGAGGGTGGGTCGGGGAGTAAGACAACACAGAGACATGTCCCCCAGCTCCCTCCACGTGTAGCACCCGGATCTCTCCAGATTATAAGCACCAGCTACGGCACACTGCTCACTACCTCACTGCAACCTACCTTTTTGGCCTGTTCTTACTGCAATGATTTTTTTATCAATGTGTCCAGTAGCCATGCTGCCCCAGAAGATGTTTGTGGGGCTTGATTAAAACAGATTCCTGGGCCACACATCCCACCAACAATTCACAGCTCTAGCATGAAGGGCCCCAGAACCTGCATTTGGGACAAGTTTCTCAGATGATTCTTTCCACTGGTACATTTCCCAGATGTACCTGGTAAAGTGTGTGAGGTGTGTAAACTACAGGTCCTGGACCCTCAGAGCCTGCAGAGCCCAGGGGGATGGGGATGGCAAGCAAAGTGACATAAACCCAGGTCACTGTCATGGAGGTGGGAGTGGAGAGGACACAAGGACATGACAAAAATCATCCTGGAGCATTCTTCAGTTGATGAGTCCAGAGCCAAGACATAAGTTTGCAAACATTTTTATTTGCGTGGTGGCCTGCGCCCTGTTTTTAAGTTCAAGGAGACAGTCAGTGGAAATGTGCCAGAAAGGGGGCAAAGAATAAGGGGGAAAGGAAGGAATGTCTCTCCTGCCTCTCTCTCCTTTTAAAGCTGAGCACCTAGAGTTGCATTTGAGGAAGTTAAAATCATGGGTGATGCAACCCCACTGCATGGGTTTCTTTCTTTACATTCCTTGGATTACTATAAAGAGACTGTATTCAAAGAA